GGAGGAGGAGGAGGAGATGGAGGAGGGAGGAGGAGATGGAGGAGGAGGAGGAGGAGGAGGAGGAGGGAGGAGATGGAGGAGGAGGGAGGAGGAGGAAGAGGAGGAGGAGGAGGAGGGAGGAGGAGGGAGGAGGAGATGGAGGAGGAGATGGAGAAGAGGAGGAGGAGGAGGAGGAGGAGGAGGAGGAGGAGGAGGAGATGGAGGAGGAGATGGAGGAGGAGGAGGAGGAGGAGGAGGGGGGCGGACCCCGGCTGGTGCGGCTCAGTGGTCGGAGCGCAGGGCCTGCACCGGGAAAGGTGGAGGGGGCTGGATTCCAGGTTCAAGGGCATCCGACTTACCTGGGTTGTCAGGTTCGGTCCCCGCTGGTACGGGAACTGGGGTGTCTGCTGGCCTGGCCTGACTGGTGGGTGGATGTGTCTGTCTGTCTCTCCCTCTCTCTCTCTCTCTCTCTCTCAATGTCTGCTGGGCCAATTGGTGAATGTCTCTCTCTCTCTCTCTCTCTCTCTCTCTCCCCCCCCCCCGGGTGGGGAGGGGAAGGTGATGGAAACAATACCCTCCGAGGGGGATTAACAACAGAGAAAATAATCGCATGAGCTTTGTTGAAGGGATGAGCTGCTCGCACATTCCCGCCGGCTCATCAGCTCACAGGCCCGGCCCCCCCGAGTCTCCAGGCGCCCCAGGATTTACTACGGAACTGTCGCCTTTGATGGAGGTCAGGCTTTCATTAATTTTTAAAAAAAAAATATATATATATATTATTGATTTTTTTTTTTTCTTTTTGCAGAGAGGAAAGGAGAGGGAGAGAGAGAGCGAGAAACATCGACGATGAGAGAAACATCCACCAGCTGCCTCCTGCACGCCCCCCACTGGGGATGTGCCCTCAGCCACCCAGGTCCATGCCCTTGACCGGGAATCGAACCCGGGACCCATCGGTCCGCAGGCCGACGCTCTATCCGCTGAACCACACCGGTTTTGGCAATAAAATATAGTTTTTGAAAAGAAAGAATGTGAGGCATTGGAAACCTGGCTGGGTGGATCCGTGGATACAGCATTGGCCTGCAGACTGAAGGGTCACGGGTTCGATTCCCAGACAAGGGCACAGGCCCCGGGTGGCAGGCTCCATCCAAACCAAGTAGGGGGGCGTGCAGGAGGCGGCCGGTCCATGATTCTCTCTCATCATGGATGTTTCTCTCTCTCTCTCTCCTTCCATCTCTCTTCCTCTCTGAAATCAATAAAAATAAATTTAAAAAATAAGAAAAAAAAAGAACCCGGACCAGTGTGGGTCAGTGGATAGAGCGTCAGCCTGCGGACTGAAAGGATCCCGGGTTCGATTCCCGGTCAAGGGCATGGGCCTCGGTGGCTGAGGGCACATCCCCAGTGGGGGGCGTGCAGGAGGCAGCGGATGGATGTGTCTCTCTCCTCATCGATGTTTCTGACTCTCTATCCCTCTCCTTTCTTCTCTGTTAAAAAAAAAAAAAAAAAAACAATAAAATGTATTAAAACAAAACAGAAACCTAGCCCAGCAGGTGTGGCTCAGTGGTTAGAGCGTCCACCTGCGAACCAGGAGGTTCAGGGTTCGATTCCCGGTCAAGGGCACAGGCCCGGGTTGTGGGCTCCGTCCCCAGCAGGGGGCGTGCAGGAGGCGGCCAGTCCGTGATTCTCTCTCTCTCTCCTCTTGGATGTTTCTCTCTCTCTCTCTCTCTCTCTCTCCCCCCCAAATCCCTTCCTGTCTGACGTCCATAAAGACATATTTTAAATGATAAAAATAAAGAAATTGCAGCCGGTCCATGTTTCTCTCTCATCATCGATGTTCCTGGCTATCTCTCTCCCTTCCTCTCTGTACAAAACCAATGAAATATATTTAAAAAAAACAAAATAAAATAAAAAATAAGAGGGAAAAATAAAAGAATCTTTGGGTCCGTCTTACAGACTGGCCGCGGATCGACCCCCATTTGCTTGATTATACCGAAAGCAGCCTTTCGTAAGCCGTAAGCCGGCCAAATCCCCATGGAGGCGATGACTCTGCTAATGAGATGGAGTGTGAGAGGGCTCAGGACACAGCCCTTCAGAGACCGGACGGGAGGCGTGAACATCCAGGTCAGGGCCTGGCCGGTGTGGCTCAGTGGATAGAGCCTCGGCCTGCTGGACGGAAGGGTCCCGGGTTCGATTCCAGCCGGTCCAGGGCATGGACCTGGGTGGCTGAGGGCACATCCCCAGGTGGGGGGCGTGCAGGAGGGAGCGGATGGGTGTTTTTCTCTCACTAATGTTTCTAACTCTCTTCCCCGTCTCCCTTCCTCTTTAAAAAAAAAAAATCAATAAAAATAGCTTTAACCGGTGTGGCTCAGTGGTTAGAGCGTCAGCCTGCGGACAGAAGGGTCCCGGGTTCGATTCCCGGTCCAGGGCACAGGCCCGGGTTGCGGGCTCCATCCCCAGCAGGGGGCGTGCAGGAGGCAGCTGGACCCTGATTCTCCATCATGGATGTTTCTCTCTCCCCCTCACCCCATCTTTCCTTTCTCTGAAATCGACCTATAATAAAAGCGTAATGTGCTAGTTAGACCGGACGGCTGAACCACCTTCCAGATGCCCCTCAGGACCAAGGCAGAGGCAGTTAAGGGCGATCAGGCAGGCAGGGGAGCGGTTAGGGGCGATCAGGCAGGCAGGGGAGCGGTTAGGGGCGATCAGGCAGGGGAGTGGTTAGGGGCGATCAGGCAGGGGAGTGGTTAGGGGCGATCAGGCAGGCAGGGGAGTGGTTAGGGGCGATCAGGCAGGGGAGCGGTTAGGGGCGATCAGGCAGGGGAGCGGTTAGGGGCGATCAGGCAGGGGAGCGGTTAGGGGCGATCAGGCAGGCAGGGGAGTGGTTAAGAGCCATCAGGCAGGAAGGCAGAGTAGTTAGAGGCGATCAGGCAGGCAGGCAAACAGACAGGCAGGTGAGCAGTTAGGGGCGATCAGGCCAGCAGGGGAGTGGTTAGGGGCAATTAGGCAGGTAGGTGAGTGGTTAGGGGCGATCAGACAGGCAGGGTAGCGGTTAGGGGTGATCAGGCAGGCAGGGGAGTGATTAGGGGTATTAGACAGGCAGGCAGGTGAGCAGTTAGGGGCGATCAGGCCGGCAGGGGAGTGGTTAGGGGCGATCAGGCAGGCAGGGCAGTGGTTAGGGGCGATCAGGCAGGCAGGGGAGCGGTTAGGGGCGATCAGGCAGGCAGGGGAGCGGTTAGGGGCGATCAGGCAGGCAGGGGAGCGGTTAGGGGCGATCAGGCGGGCAGGGGAGTGGTTAGGGGCGATCAGGCAGGCAGGGGAGTGGTTAGGGGCGATCAGGCAGGCAGGGGAGTGGTTAGGGGCCATCAGGCAGGTGAGGAGCGGTTAAGGGCGATCAGGCAGGGGAGTGGTTAGGGGCGATCAGGCAGGCAGGTGAGTGGTTAAGGGAGATCAGGCAGGAAGGCAGAGTGATTTGGGGCGATCAGGGAAACAATTAAGGACCATCAGACAGGCAGGTGAGCAGTTAGGGGCGGTCAGACAGGAAGGCAGGTGAGTGGTTAAGGGCGATCAGGCAGGCAGGTGAGTGGTTAGGGGCGATCAGGCAGGAAAGCAGAGTGGTTAGGGGCGATCAGGCAGGCTGGTGAGTGGTTAGGGGCGATCAGGCAGGGGAGTGGTTAGGGGCGATCAGGCAGGCAGGGGAGCGGTTAGGGGGCGATCAGGCAGGCAGGGGAGTGGTTAAGGGCGATCAGGCAGGTGAGTGGTTAGGGGCGATCAGGCAGGAAAGCAGAGTGGTTAGGGGCGATCAGGCAGGCTGGTGAGTGGTTAGAGGCAATCAGGCAGGCAGGGGAGTGGTTAAGGGAGATCAGGCAGAAAGGCAGAGTGATTTGGGGCAATCAGGCAGGCAGGTGAGCAGTTAAGGGAGATCAGGCAGGCAGGGGAACAGTTAGGGGCAATCAGGCAGGCCGGCCGGCAGGCTGGCCAATGGTAAAGAGCCAGCCAGCCACCCCCGGATTGCGACAGGGTTGCCCGAATGCCGGCTAAGACCCCATCCATCCCTGCGGGCCTAAACCCACAGTCAGGCACCCCCCCAAGGGGTCCTGGATCGCCAGAGGGTGCAGGCCGGGCCGAGGGACCCCGCCCTGTGCACTCACTGCGTCCCCCGGGCCTTCCGTGTAAATATCTTTGGGGGGGACGGAGGGGAGGGGCGAGGCACCGCAGCCAATCGGTGCTTCCAGGAAAAGCAAGCGACTTCGACCCGTTTCAAAGACACTGGACCAGGGCTCAGCTCAACACGAACTCCCCACAAAGCACGCGGCACGGCGGCTCATTGGAAAAGGATTTTATTTCGCCATAAAAATGCAAACGCCCTTCTCTCCAAACGCAAACGCTTCCGCGCGCTCTCCCCCTCCCCCGCCCCCCCCCCCGGGGGGGAAAAGCCGACGATGTTTGATGATTATAAAAGCGGAGCGAGCCAGCGCGGCCTCGAGTCTGTGCGAGAAACGTTTCCGAGTAAAAATAATTTAGCAAAAACACCGGCTTCTTTAGAAAACAAAACAAAAAACAAAACGAAACGAAACAAAAACACGCACACACGCGAACCTTCACTGGGAACCCAGCCTGGGACCAACCATCTCTCCCCCCCGGCTTTTCCGGGAACCGGCGGGGGGAGCGGATGCTTCTCAGCTGCTGAGTCCGGGCCGCGTCCCAGAGTCCCAGCGGCCTGCGAGGCCCGAGTGACCGGAAGTGATGGAAACAAGAACAGGAGCCGGCGGCCGGCCGGGGCCTTCCTGTGCCGGCCGCTGGCATCCCCGCGGTGACCTCTCACCCCGGCTGCGGGGCTGCTGTCCGTGGGGGTCGGCGAGGCCCGCAGGTCCCTGCAGGCGGAGGCCCGGCCAGGTGAGGGCCATCCGCCAAGTCTCCAGGCCCGTCCTCCTCCTCCTCCTCCTCCTCCTCCGGGGACGCGCTCCAAGGCTCAGTGGATCCGGATCTTCCCGGGAAGGTCGGTCGGTCGGTCGGTCGGCCGGGCATTACCTGTCCCAGGCGCTGCGGTGCGGGCCCGGGGACCGCGGGGAGCCGGAGCGGGACCGCTGGCTGCGGCGGTGGCGGCTGCGCTTGCGGCCCGAGCTGGCCCTGCGCTCCCGGCTGCGCTCGCGGCGGCCGGCGCGGTCCTGGCTGCGGGACCGGCGGGGCCGCGCGTGGCCGGGGCTGGCGCTGCGCCGCCGGGGGCTGCCGTCCGGGTGCGAGCGCTTCTTGTGCGATCGGCGCTCCTTGCGCGGCTCGCGGCTGCCGGCCCGGCGCGACCCGCTGCGCTGCTCCCGGGCGCGCCTGTCCTCGCCGCCCGGCTCCCCGCGGGCGCGGCCCTCGCCCGGCGCGCCCGGCTCGCGGTTGCACTTGTCCAGCTCGGACAGCGCGTCCTTGCGGGGCGGCGCGGCGGGCTCGCAGGCGGCGGGCGGCGCGGCCTTGGGCTGCTGGTGGTTGTCGGGGATGCAGGCCAGCACGGCCGGGCCCCGCTTCTCGGGGGACGCGCGGTCCCGGTCCCGGTCCCGGCCCCGGGCGGCCTCCGCCGCGCCGCCGCGGGCCGGGGCCTCGGGCTCGGCCGCCGTGGGCAGCAGCTGGGCGGCGGACACGCTCTGCAGGATGGCCAGCATGGGCTGCAGCAGGTCGGCGGGCGCCACGCCCAGCTCGCCGGGCGCCTGCGGGCCGTCGGCCTGGCGGCTCAGCAGGATGCTCAGCAGGCGCTGCCGCAGCTGCCGCTCCTTGCGCTGCAGGCCCAGCGCGCGCTCCTTCTCCTCCTCCACGCGCCGCAGCTCGGCCTCCTGCAGCCGCCGCCGCTCCTCCAGCTGCCGCCGCTGCTCCTCCAGCTGCCGCCGCTCCCGCTCCTGCAGCCGGGCCGCCTGCGGGGAGAGGGGCGGCTCAGCGGGGCCCGGACCCGCCCCGCGCGCGGGGCGCCGGGCGCGACACCCGTCCCCGCCGCGCCCGCCGGTCATGCGTCCGCGCGGGCGGGCTGCACACCCCGCGGCGAGGCGGCGCCGCAGACACAGGCCGGCCGGGCCGGGCCGGGTCCGTGTCTTCAATATTCACCATGAAATTAGAACTGAGCTGCCGGTCTCGGCGGCCTGCCTGGTCCTTCCCGGCCTTAGCGCCACTGTAATCAGACAACAGGTTAGGGGGGCGCGGGGCCTGGGCTCGGCTGTGCGGCCTCCGCGGGGCGGCCCCGGCACCAGGCCCGGTGGCCCGCAGGCCCGGCGCTGTGTCCGCGGGGCCGAGGGACTGCGCGTCCGGCACGGCTCCCGGCCCCGGGGCTCCCTGCGGGCCTGGCTCTGGCCACAAGCACACACCCCCACCCCCACCCCCACCCCGGCCGCCGGCCTCACCCCGAGGCCTGGGCGCGGGAGACTCGGACTCGGAGCTCCGGCGGCTCCTGAGGCAGGAACCGCCCCGCAGTGCCGGCGGCGGGGCTGTCAGTCTCTGCGGGACCCTTCCTCCTGCCCAGCGGCCCCGCGGCCCAGACCCCGGCGGCCCCGCGGGTACCTTGGCGCGGCCCAGCAGCTCGGTGAGCAGCCGCAGGGACTGCAGGTTGCGCTGGGCCAGCAGCAGCCGCCGCTCCTCCAGCCGGACCTTCTCCTGCAGCTGCCGCTGCTCCTCCGCCTGCAGCTTCGCCAGCTTCTTCTGGCTGCGGCGCAGCTCCCGGTCCCGCTGCCGCTGCTCCCGCCGCCGCAGCTTCTCCTCCCGCCGCCGCTCGCGCTCCATCTCCTCCAGCTCCTTCTGCTTCCTGCGGGCACGCACAGGCGTAGGCGGGGCACGCACAGGCGTGAGCGTGGGCGGAGCGGACGTATAGCCGTGGGCGGGGGCACGCAGCCGTGGGCGTGGGCACGCAGCGCGTGGGCGGCAGCACACAGCGCGTGGGCGGGGGCACGCAGCGCGTGGGCGGGGGCACGCACAGCCGGGGGCAGGGGCACGCACAGGCGTGAGCGTGGGCGGAGCGGACGTACAGCCGGGGGCGGGGGCACGCACAGCGTGGGCGTGGGTGGAGGGGACGTACAGGCGTGGGCGGGAGCACGCAGCCGTGAGCCGTGGGCGGGGGCACACAAAGGCGGGGGCGGAGGGCACGCAGCCGTGGGCGTGGGCGGAAGAGACGCACAGCCGGGGCGGGGAGCACGCACACGCGGTGGGCGGGGCACGCATAGCCGGGGGCGGGCGGCCGGGGAGACACCGGGCCCTGACCAGGGGCCGCAGGCGCCATCCCCGCCCCCCCCGCCCCCCTCTCTCGCTAAGACCCCTGGGAAATGCCCCCAGGGGCAGCACAGGCAGAGCCGCGGGACGGCCCAGCTCCTCGCGAGGCTCCTGAGATTCACCAGGTGGCTCTTCCCCCCAAAGTCCCCCTGGCTCTTCCCCCCGACATGCCCGGCTCTTCCCTCATCCCCGGGAGCAACACACACACTTGTGCACACTCACACACACACTCACAGACACACACACACACAGACACACGTGCTCACGCACATGGGTGCCCACAGACACACACGTGTGCTCACGGATGCCCACACATGCAGAGGCACGCACACGGATGCCCACACGTGCAGGGCACCCACACCCGCGCACACGCGCGCATGGATGACCACACACACCCACACGCACACTCACACGTGCACAAATGCCCCCCCACACACACACAGATGCCCACGCACACGCACACGCACACAGATGCGCACACACACGCGCACGGATACCCCCCACACACACACTCACGGACGCCCACACGTGCAGGGCACGCACACGCACACACACCCACACGTGCACAGATGCCCACACCCACAGGAACGCACACGCACACAGATGCTCACACGTGCAGGGCACGCACACGCACACACACACCCACACGCACACAGATGCTCACACGTGCAGGGCACGCACACGCACACACACGCGCGCGCGCACAGGCACCCACACACACCCACACGCACACGCACAGATGCCCACACGTGCAGGGCACGCACACGCGCGCGCACACACACACACACACACACGCACACGCACACACACCCACACGTGCACAGATGCCCACACCCACAGGAACGCACACGCACACAGATGCTCACACGTGCAGGGCACGCACACGCGCACACACACGCGCGCGCACAGACGCACACACACCCAGGCGCGCGCACGGCCGCGCACCTCTCCTCCGCCCGCTGCCGCTCCTCGGCCTCCTTCTCCCGCCGCTTCTGCTCCTCCCGCTGCCGCTCCAGCTCCTGCAGCTTCTGCCGCTCCAGCTGCCGCTTGCGGATGGAGGCGTCGCTCAGGTGCTTGGTGGAGTCGAAGGAGACCTGCGGGGGCGGCGGCGGCCGGGCTCTCAGGAGCCGCCCCCGACCCCCCTCCCAGCCAGAGCGACGGGCCCTCCCCCCCCACCCCCCCCGGAGCCAGCCCCCGGCCCCCAGACCGGCAGGCACCGGCCCTCCCGCTCACTGAGCCTCAGAAAGCTGCCCGGGCCCAGCGGACGCGGCTCAGTGGCTGAGCTTCGTCCGAAAGGCGGCGGGTTCGAGCCCCGGGGTGGGGCGCGCAGGAGGCAGCAGGCCCACGGTTCTCTCTCATGGATCCATATATTCGATTGACTTTGTTTACAGAGAGGAAGAGAGAGGGAGGGGGAGAGAGTCAGAAACACCGATGAGAGAGAATCATCCATCCGCTGCCTCCTGCACGCCCCCCACTGGGGATGTGCCCGCCACCAAGGCCCATGCCCTTGACCTGGGAATCGAACCCGGGACCTTTCAGGCTGCAGGCCGACACTCTATCCACGGAGCCACACCGGCTAGAACTCAAGTATATATATATTTTTTTAAAAGTTGTTCCTTTGCCGAAACCGGTGTGGCTCCGTGGATAGAGCCTCGGACTGCGGACTGAAAGGTTCCAGGTTCGATTCCGGTCAAGGGCATGGGCCTGGGTGGCTGAGGGCACATCCCCAGTGGGGGGTGTGCAGGAGGCAGCTGATCGATGATTCTCTCTCATCGATGTTTCTAACTCTCTGTCCCTCTCAATTCCTCTCTGTGTAAAATCAATAAAATATATTTAAAAAATAAAAAAAATAAAAAATAAATAAAGTTGTTCCTTTGCTGAAACCGGTGTGGCTCCGTGGATAGAGCCTCGGTCTGCAGACTGAAAGGTTCCAGGTTCGATTCCGGTCAAGGGCATGGGCCCTGGCTGAGGGCACATCCCCAGTGGGGGGCGTGCAGGAGGCAGCTGATCGATGATTCTCTCTCGTCGATGTTTCTGGCTCTCTATCCCTCTCTTCCTCTCTGTGAAAAAAATCAATAAGAAATATATATAGTAATTATAATTTAAAAATAAATAAAAGGTTGCTCCTCTGACAAGACAATTTTCTGCTTCTGCCCCCGGGGGATAGAAACATCCATGAGGAGAGAGAATCATGGACCAGCTGCCTCCTGCACGCCCCCACCATCCTGCTGCCCCGGCCCGGGCCCCGCCCACCCCGGGCCTGTGTCCACGGTTACCGGGTGCAGGTTGGGGGGGGGGGTGTGTGTGTGCAGGCTGCGGGAGACCCCGCCACCCCGGGCCTGAGCCCATGGTCACGGGGTGCAGGTTACGGGGGTGCAGGCTACGGAGACCCCGCTGCCCGCCCGCCCCGGACCTGAGCCCATGATCACGGGGTGCAGGTTACAGGCGGTGCAGGCTGCGGGAGATCTCGCCGTCCTGGGCCTGAGCCCATGATTTCGGGGTGCAGGTTACGGGGTGCAGGCTGCGGGAGATCTCGCCGTCCCGGGCCTGAGCCCATGATTTCGGGGTGCAGGTTACGGGGTGGAGCAGGCTGCGGAGACCCCGCCCCACCCGCCCCGGGCCTGAGCCCATGATCACGGGGTGCAGGCTGCGGGGATCCCGCCGCCCCGGGCCCTGAGCCCATGGTCACGGGTTGCAGGTTACGGGGTGGAGCAGGCTGCGGAGACCCCCCCCCCCGCCCCGCCCGCCCCGGGCCTGAGCCCATGATTTCGGGGTGCAGGCTGCGGGGTGCAGGCTGCGGGGTGGAGCAGGCTGCGGAGACCCCCCGCCCCGGGCCAGAGCCCATGATTTCGGGGTGCAGGCTGCGGGGATCCCGCTGTCCCAGCCTGAGCCCATGATTTCGGGGTGCAGGCTGCGGGGTGGAGCAGGCTGCGGAGCCCCCGCCCCGGCCCGCGGGAGCCCCCCGCGGCTCACCTTGATGTTGCAGGCCACCGCCTTGCCGTCCTCGCCCTTGTGCATGAGCTTCATGCCGCGCAGAGCGCCCATGGCCCGCACGAAGCCGGCGTACTCGCGGTACTGCACGTAGGCCTCGAAGTTGAGGTGGCCGCCGAAGCTGAAGGTGTGGAAGTTGCGGCCCGTCATCTCCTCGCGGTAGGGGTCCAGCATGGGGATGTCCACGTGGCGGATGGCGCCGAAGCGCTCGAACACGCGCACCAGCACGTCCTCGCTGGGGCGCTCGGCGCCGCCCCCGCCGCCGGCCCCGCCGCCGCCCCCGCCGCCCCCGCCGGCCTCCCGGCGCGCGAACCAGCGGCAGGGCAGCCCCTCCAGGTGGATGGTGTCGGGCCGCTCGCCGGGCAGCGTCTCGTTCATGTCCTTGGCGTCGCGGAAGAAGGAGTCCCAGTCGTGGCGCGTGGGGAAGTCGATCTTGAACTCGGCGGCGCGCACCCTCAGGGCGTCGGAGAAGCCGCTCAGCTTGATGGTCTTGCCGTCCAGGCAGGCCAGGAAGGCCCTGACCAGCGCGCGGTTCTCCACCTCGCCCTCGAAGCGCACGAAGTCCATGGTGCTCTTGGCGATGCGCAGCGCCGAGAACTGGTGGTGCTGCACCATGGCCTTGAGTCGCTCCATCACCTCCCAGTTGGAGATGGACTTGCCCGGCTGCTTGAGCTGCGGCAGCGCCACGCTGATGGTCATCTTGGTGATGGGCTTGAGGTACAGGCCGTAGGCCGGGCACAGCTCCACCGCCTCCGAGGTGTCGTGCACGATGGTGGCCGCGGCCATCGCCACCGCCGCGGGGGGGCCTGAGACGGGCAGAGGGCGGGGTCAGTGTCCTGTGCGCGCGCGCGTGGTTTTTTATTTTTTTTTTATATTTGTATATTTTATTGATTTTGTACACAGAGGAAGGGAGAGGGAGAGAGAGCTAGAAACATGGATGAGAGAGGGTCATCGATCAGCAGCCTCCTGCATGCCCCCCACTGGGGATGTGCCCGCCACCAAGGCCCATGGCCTTGGCCGGGAATCAAACCCGGGACCTTTCCGTCCGCAGGCCGGCGCTCTATCCATTGAGCCACACCGGTCCCAGGCGTGTGTTGTTTTTTTTTTGGTTTTTTTTTAATATAGATTTGGGGCCCAAACCAGTGTGGCTCAGTGGATAGAGCGTCGGCTGCAGACGGAAAGGTCCCGGGTTCGATTCCCGGTCAAGGGCAGGGGCCTCGATGGTGGGCACATCCACAGTGGGGGGCGTGCAGGAGGCGGCTGGTCAATGTTTCTCTCCCTCTCCCTTCCTCTCTGTAAAAAAATCAACAAAATATATTAAAAAAACAAAAAAAAACAAAACACACACACAGCCAAAGCCAGTGTGGCTCAGTGGGCAGAGCGTCGGCCTGCGGACGGAAGGGTCCCGGGTTCGATTCCCGGTCAAGGGCATGGGCCTGGGTGGCTGAGGGCACATCCCCAGTGGGGGGCGTGCAGGAGGCGGCTGGTCAGTGATTCTCTCTCATCATCGATGTTTCTGACTCTCTCTCCCTCTCCCTTCCTCTCTGTAAAAAAAATCAATAAAATATATTTATTAAAAAAAAAAAAAAGTCAAGGGCATGGACTTCTCTCTGCCCCTTCCCCTCCCTCCACTCTCGCTCTCAACATCAGCGGGAACATACAGACTTGGGTGAGGATTAACCACACACACACACACACACACACACACGCACACACACACTCACACAGACACACACACAGACAGACACACACTCACACACACACACGCACGCAGACACACACACATACACACACACGTGCGCGCACACACACACACGCACACACACACACACAAACGCACACACACATGCAGACGCACACACACACGCAGACATAAACACACAGACACACACATGCACACACAGGCACACACACACAGGCACACACGCGCGCACAGACACGCGCACGCACACACACGCACGCACGCACAAACACACTCACACACGTACACACAAAGACACACATGCACACACATGCACACACAGAGAAACACACTCACACACGTACACACGCAGACACACACACGCAGACACACACGCACAGACACACACGCGCGCACACACACACACAGACACACACACACTCACACACACACACACACACATGCAGACGCACACACACGCAGACACAAACACACACACAGACACACACGCACACACACACACAGACACACACGCGCGCGCACACACGCACAGGCACACGCGCGCGCACACACACACGCAGACACACAGAAACACACACACGTACACACACACAGACACACATACACACGCACAAACACACACGCGCGCACACACTCACACACAGACACACACACACGCACAGACACACACACAGACACACACACACAGACACACAGACACACACACACACAGACGCACGCACGCCCTGGCCGGTGTGGCCAGCGGATAGAGCGCCGGCCTGTGGACGGCAGGGTCCCTGCGAGGCCCAGGGCACAGGCCCGCGGGGTCCCCGGGGCGGCCGGGCCGGGACTCTCTCCTCCTGGATGTCTCTCCCCCGTTTCCTCTCTGAGATCCACCAGATATTTACACATTTACATATTTACATATTTAAATTTTAAATATTTATATCTTTACACATTTACATATTTAAATTTTAAATATTTACATATTTAGGGGGTGCTGAGGGTCTTTGGGGTCCTGGGAGCCTGGGGTCAGGGGTCAGAGGCGGAGGCGGGGTTCTGGAGGGTCAGGGTAGGGTGTTGAGGTCTGGGGGGGCGGCTGTGGGGTTGCCATGGAGACAGGGTGACCCCCTAGACCCTCACTCTGTACCCCAAACCCCCAGACCCCCCTAAACCCTCACTCTGTACCCCTAACCCTCACTCTGTACCCCTAACCCCAGGCCCCCCCTAAACCCTCACTCTGTACCCCAACCCCTGGCCCCCCTAAACCCTCACTCTGTACCCCTAACCCCAGGCCCTCAGCACCCCCAGCCCAAGGCCCTTAGTGCCCCGGCCCCCCAGAACCCTCAGGACCCACAGGCCTCCTGTGCCAGCCCCCCCCCCACACACTCTCCCAGCCCCGGCCCCGCCCCCAACTCCCGGCCCCGAACCCCCGGCCCCGAACCCCCGGCCCCCGTCCCCCGATTCCCAGCCCCGCCCCCGACTCCCGGCCCCGAACCCCGACTCCCGGCCCCGAACCCCAACTCCCGGCCCCGAACCCCGACTCCCGGCCCCGAACCCCGACTCCCGGCCCCGCCCCCCAACACTCTCCGAACCCCGAACCCCGACTCCCGGCCCCGAACCCCAACTCCCGACTCCGAACCCCCAACTCCCGGCCCCTGAACCCCGACTCCCGGCCCCTGAACCCCGACTCCCGGCCCCGAACCCCGACTCCCGGCCCCGAACCCCCGGCCCCAAACCCCCGGCCCTCGGCCCCCGATTCCCGGCCCCGAACCCCGACTCCCGGCCCTGGCCCCGACTCCCGGGCCCGAACCCCAACTCCCGGCTCCGAACCCCCAACTCCAGGCCCCTGAACCCCGACTCCCGGCCCCGAACCCCGACTCCCGGCCCCACCCCCGCCCGGTGACCCCTGAACCCCTCCCCTCCGGCCCGGCCCCGACCTCTGACCCCCGCCCGGTGACCCCTCGCCGCCTCCCCTCCGGCCCCCGCAGCCTCCGACCTGGTGACCCCGCCCCCAACTCACGCCCCCGAACCCCACTCCGGCCCAGTGACCCCTGAGCCCCGCCCCTTCCGGCCCGGTGACCCCCTCGACCCCTCCCCTCAGGCCCCGACCCCGCCCCCCGCCCCCAACTCCCGGCCCGGAACCCCAACTCCCGACCCGGTGACCCCTGAACCGCTCCCCTCCGGCCCGGCCCGGCCCTGACCTCTGACCTGTGAACCGGTGACCCCCAACTCCCGGCCCGGTGACCCCCGCCCCCAGCTCCCAGCCCCCGACCCCTGACCCGGTGACCCCCGACCCTCAACTCCCGTCCCCCGACCCCTGACCCGGTGACCCCGGGCCCCCAACACCCGGCCCTCGATCCCCGACCCCGCCCCCTGACCCCGGCCCCGACCTCTGACCCGCGGCCCGGTGACCCCCAACCCCCCAACTCCCCGTCCCCGCCCCCTGACCCCGGCCCCGACCTCTGACCCGCGGCCCGGTGATCCCCGCCCCCCAACTCCCGGCCCCCGAACCCTGACCCGGTGACCCCCGACCCCCAACTCCCGGCCTTCGATCCCCGACCCCGGCCCCGACCCGTGACCCGCGCCCGGTGACCCCTCGACCCCTCCCCTCCGGCCCGGCCCCCGGCCGCGACCCCCGCCCCGCGGCCCCCGCCCCTTCCGGCCCGGCCCCGGCGCCCCTGGAGCGGGCGGCGCGGGCGGCGCTCACCGGCCTGGGCCTCCGCCGCGTCCCCCGCCGCCGCCGCCGCGCCCCGCGCCCCGCTCGCCGCCGCCGTCCGTCCGCCCGCCGCCTCCCGCCGGAGCCTCCTCAGCCGTCCGCCGGAAGTGCCCCCGACGGGACGCCGTTGCCCGCCCCCGTGACGCGCTTCCGCTTCCGGCGCGCGGGCCCGACGCGCGGCGGCTCCAGGTTTCTCCTCACCAGCCCGGCCACGCCCACGAGGGCGGGACTTCCGGCGTGCGCCGCGCGTCGGGGCGGGGCCGGATCCGGCTCCGCAGTGCGCGTGCGCGTGCGCGGGCTCGCCCCCGCCCGCACCCAGGCGGTGCAGGTGGCTCACCTGCGGGGCCCCGGTGGGCACGCGGCCCCTTTAAGAGGCTAAGGGCGTGGTGTTCGCGCCTAAATTACCGCGATAATCACATATCTCACAGCCACGCACACTCACTGTGAATTATTTATCATCTCGCCGTTCATTTGTTATTATTGCATGCATGCATCCTGGGTAATAGGCCCATGTGCAATTGGATATAGATATTTAATTATACATATCTGTTACTATACAGCCATCTGTCACTGTACACAGAGCTATGCCATGGAATAGACATAAATATTTAGTTATAAATGTTTGTTACTGTACATCCTAGATCATAGAGCGATGGCATTGAATATAAATATAAATATAAACATAAATATAAACATAAATATAAACATAAATATAAATAATATAAATATATTCAATTATACTTGTTTGTTACTACGCATCCTGGATCATAGAACTATGCCATTGAATTATAAATATAAATATTTAATTGTAAATGTTTACATCTTAGATTATAGAGCTAGGCCATTGATATAAATATATTGAATTATAAATATTTGTTCCTATGCATCCACTTGTTACCATACATAGAGCGATGCAATGGTTTATAAATATAAATACTTAATTATAAATGCGTGTTACTGTACATCCTAGATAACAGAGCTACGCCATTGAATATACATATAAATATTTACTTGTTACTATACATCCTAGACCATAGAGCTATGGCATTGAATATAAACATAAATATAAATATAAATATAAATATAAATATAAATATAAATATAAATATAAATATATATTCAATATACTTGTTTGTTACTACGCATCCTAGATCACAGAGCTATGCCACTGAATTATAACTATAAATATTTAATTGTAAATGTTTACATCTTAGATTATAGAGCTAGGCCATTGATAGAAATATATTGAATTATAAATATGTGTTCCTATATATATCCTAGAAAATAGAGCTAGGCCACTGAATATAAATACAAATATTTCATTATAAACGATTGTTACTACGTATCCTAGATCATAGAGCTATGCCATTGAATATAAATATAAGT